GCGGAGCGCGAGGGAATATTTCACATTCATCCTAAATCCAAATAGCCGCCGGGCTGCGAAGAGGTGTGGCGGAGAAGACAGTTTAATGATTATCACTCACCCCGGGCCAAGCTCATAACTCATGTAACTTTCCGACCTTTTGCTGCGTCGTTACCCCTGCTGAGAGAGAGAGAGAGAGAGAGAGAGAGAGAGAGAGAGAGAGAGAGAGAGAGAGAGAGAGAGAGAGAGAGAGAGAGAGAGAGAGAGAGAGAGAGAGAGAGAGAGAGAGAGAGGGAGAGAGAGGGGGGGGCAGACATTAGAATTGAGGACAGATATTAGGCTGTAATTCTAGAAGCGAGAGGGTGATAACTGAGCCTGATACAAAATATATGTAGTGATGAGATAAATAATGCTGATATAGGCTATAGGTCTAGAGTTAAACATCTCAGACCACCCATGTCTCCAAGTGGTCTCATCACTCTCCTGGTCTCCTTGGTATAAGCTACTGCATGTCAGTCTGCATGACAAGCACTAACCCACTGGGCACAAACATCAATTCAATGTCTATTCCACGTTGGTTCAATGTAATTTCATTGAAATGATGTGGAAACAAAGTTGATTCAACCAGTGTGTGCCCAGTGAGAAGATGTTTCATTTGAACTTCTGTGCCATTCTGTGAACTATACATGACCTTTCAGGTAATCCTCGCTTTGCAAATGCAGGGCTTGCCTTTATTTTAACCAGAGTTTACATATTTAATTACTATGGAGCTAACCTTTCTATTTTTGCTGTGGTGTCATCTCGGTATTGTCTCAACAGTACTTCCCCTTTCCAGAGAAGTCATCCGTAGAGGGAGGAGGCCCCAACACCTTGTATTATCACGGGGCCTGCACTTAAGAATGTAAAATGTACTTTAGGATTAGGCTACAAACTGTGTGTGTGTGTGTGTGTGTGTGTGTGTGTGTGTGTGTGTGTGTTTGCGTGTGTTTTATGTACAACCTTTGATATAGCTCTTAAGCTTTGTGTGAGGGGAGATGTTGTTATTCTCTGAACAAACTATGGGAGGAACTTTGAGAGCTCCTAACATTAAAGACGGATTAAGATGGCTGATAGACACAGAACAGAAGAGGGGATGATTCAAAGACATCTTCCCTCTTTTGTTGATCTTTATTCTTTTCAAGAGTCAATTTGCATACAAACTTCCCACAACTTTCTGGGAATGGTGCAGGACAGTTGCTTGGATTTGGAACATTCTCAGCACATTTAAGGAACTTGACAAAAAATGATATTTTCTTGGTGTTTTATTACTTTAACAGAACGTTTCCTAAAAGTTCAAACATGGTTACATTTCATTTCAATTTTGGTAATGTTCTAGGAACATTCTCCAACTGGTTTGACATAACATTAAGAAAACTTTCCATGAAAACCACAAGAAAACTTTCAATGTTCGAAGAATGTTATTTAAAAACATATACATTCCATTCTCAGCATAAACAAAACTCTTATCTTCTATCTTGTTGAGCATGTTCAGGTGTGTTGGCCACGCCCACTAAATGGCCACACCTGATCTTTATGAGTGCTTGTTTCCTTTGAAATGGGGTCTGTTTTAATAGACTAAAATTAACAGCTTTGTATGAGTTTAAAAAACATGGCATGCTAGCTCCATCCTGGTGGTGCAGTGGACTAATTCCATGGATAAAGAACAGAAGATCATAAATTTGAATCCCACTGACACCGTGTGAAAATAAAAATATATGTGTTTGCATGATTAATGCCTAAGCAAATTAATTTCCTTGTGTCCTAACTGTGCTTGGAGTTAACCCAAACTAAGCTACACTACATGACCAAAAGTATGTGGACACCGGCTCGTTGAACATCTCATTCCAAAATTATGAGCATTAATATGGATTTGGTCCCCCCTTTGCTGCTATAACAGCCTCCAGTCTTCTGAGAAGACTTTCCACTAGATGTTGGAACATTGCTGCAGGGACTTGATTCCATTTAGCCACAAGAGCAATAGTGAGGTCGGGCACTGATGTTGGGTGATTAGGCCTGGCTCGCAGTCAACGTTCCAATTCATCCCAAATGTGCTTGATGGGGTTGAGGTCAGGGTTCTGTGCAGGCCAGGCAAGTTCTTCCACACCGATCTCGACAAACCATTTCTGTATGGACCTTGCTTTGTGCACGGGGGCATTGTCATGCCGAAACAGGAAAGGGCCTTCCCCAAACCGTCTAGAATGTAATTGTCTGCTGTAGCGTTAAGATTTCCCTTCACTAGAACTAAGGGGCCTAGCCCGAACCATGAAAAAGAGCCCCAGACCATTATTCCTCCTCCACCAAACATTACAGTTGCCACTATGCATTCTGGCAGGTAGCGTTCTCCTGGCATCCACCAAACCCAGATTCGTCCGTCGGACTGCCAGATGGTGAAACGTGATTCATCACTCCAGAAAACGCATTTCCACTGCTCCAGAGTCCAATGGCGGTGAGCTTTACACCACTCCAGCCGATGCTTGGCATTGTGCATGGTGATCTTCGGCTAGTGTGCGGTTGCTTGGTCATGGAAACCCATTTCATGAAGCTCCCGACGAACAGTTATTGTGCTGACGTTGCTTCCAGAGGCAGTTTGGAACTCGGTAGTGAGAGTTGCCACCGAGGAGAGACGATTTTTACGCGCTATGTGCTTCAGAACTCGGCGGTCCCATTCTGTGAGCTTTTGTGGCCTACCACTTCGCTGCTGAGCCGTTTTTGATCGTAGACATTTCCACTTCACAATAACAGCACTTACAGTTGGCAGCTCTAGCAGGGCAAAAATTTGACAAACTGACTTGTTGGAAAGGTGGCATCCTATGACGGTGCCACGTTGAAAGTCACTGAGCTCTTCAGTACGGGCCATTCTACTGCCAATGTTTGTCTATGGAGATTGCATGGCTGTGTGCTTGATTATATACACCTGTGAGCAACGGGTGTGGCTGAAATAGCCAAATCCACTTACTTTTGGCCATGTAGTGTAACAGTGTTACAAAACGTCTTATTGAAATATGTTCTCAGAACTTTATTTCATTACTTTCAAATAACCTATAATTTGTTGTTAATTAAACCTCCCAGGAAAACTTTCCGAAAACCATAGTAAAACGTTCTCAGAACCTCCTTGCAACCTAAAAATGTGGTAACCAAAGAATTATGTGGTAACCAAAAAAGTGTTCAACAAATCAAAACGTATTTTATATTTGAGATTCTTCAAATAGCCACCCTTTGCCTTGATGACAGCTTTGCACACTCTCAACCAGCTTCATGAGGTAGTCACCTGGAATGCATTTCAATTAACAGGTGTGCCTTCTTAAAAGTTAATTTGTGGAATTTATTTCCTTCTTACTGCGTTTGAGTCAATCAGTTGTGTTGTGACAAGGTAGGGGGGGGGGTATACAGAAGTTAGCCCTATTTGGTAAAAGACCAAGTGAGCGCTATGATGAAACTGTCTCTCATGAGAATCGCCACAGGAATGTTCATCATTAATTTAAAAAGTGAAGGTCAGTCAATCCGGAACATTTCAAGAACTTTGAAAGTTTCTTCAAGTGCAGTCACAAAAACCATCAGCACTATGATGAAACAGGAATGGAAGACCCAGAGTTACCTCTGCTGCAGAGGATAAGTTCATTAGAGTTACCAGCCTCAGAAATTGCAGCCCAAATAAATGCTTCACAGAGTTCAAGTAACAGACACATCTCAACATCAACTGTTCAGAGGAGACTGTGTGAATCAGGCCTTCATGGTCGAATTGCTGCAAAGAAACCACTACTAAAGGACACCAATAATAATAAGAGACCTGCTTGGGCCAAGAAACACGAGCAATGGACATTAGACCAGTGGAAATTTGTCCTTTTGTCTGGAGTCCAAATTTGAGATTTTTGGTTCCAACCACTGTGTCTTTGTGAGACGCGGTGAGGGTGAACGGATGATTTCCGCATGTATATTTCCCACCGTAAAGCATGGAAGAGGAGGTGTTATGGTGCGGGGGTGCCTTGCTGTAGAAAATAGTAAAAATAAAGAAAAACCCTTGAATGAGTAGGTGTTCTAAAACTTTTGACCGGTAGTGTACGTTCGCTGAACAGGCTAAATGTTCCCTTCCATTTTCAGAATGTTTAAAAAACTGTTCAATTTTATGTTCCCACAACTTCTAAGGAACCAAATATGCTAGCTGGGTGGTTATTATGCAAAGGACAGGAAATGTTAGATTAGACCTAGAGCAAGGTGTTTTAGTTCATAACCACCGTAAACATATCACTGAAATATAATTGTAAATAAATTTAGGGTGACCTGAGATTCTCTACAAACATAAACATTACACATGTAAACACATCTGTGTGTGTCTGGTAAATGCACGCCACCTCGCGCGAAACTCTTTTCTGGTACACAATCTACAGTCATGCAGGTGAGTCACTCACTCAGGTGAGAGAGAGAGAGCGAGAGAGAGCGAGAGAGCGAGAGAGAGAGCGAGAGAGAGATTGGTTCTCTCCAAAATATATGAACAATACACATAGTTCTTCTCCCCTCCTCCTTCTAACTTTAGCTTTCTATACGTTTATTTTTGTTTTACATACTCCTGTGTGGCACAGAGGAGCATGCAATCATAAATCCCTCAATGCTTCAATGGATTTGAGATTACTCTGAGCTCGAAACGCTAGACCACGCCCCCCGTGGGCCGTCCCTCGCTGAGGGATTATATTATAACAGGGCGCGTGTGTCTCCGGAGACAAATAGACTCTCAGCTGCTCAACAGTCAAGAGTTTGGGTGCCTCCGGTTCCTCTGTACAACGGAGCTCCTCGAACCGAAACAGACAGACAGGTGCACTGACTCCACCACTGAAACAGACTCACAGGCTACACCTGCGCCTCTCCTAAGAACCAGGACAGACACATTTTCTTACTTTCTGATTAGGAGAACCGCACTGTCCTGCAAGGAACTCTGACAGCTACACACTGACAGGTGAGAGGAGGGGAAAAAAATAAAATCATTAAAAATGAAACTTGAAGTGTTCTCCGCAAGCCACTTCCTTCAGAAGCCCATGGAGGTGTGCAGTCACAGTGACGCCGAAGGTAGCGTCCCCTCTCCCCTATCCGGGGAGGAGCTGGGCTCAGACGGCGACTGCGTGGCCAACAGCCCGGCACCTGCTACCCCGAGCAGCGGCGATGGCAAGGGCAAACCCTACACCCGCAGACCCAAGCCGCCCTACTCCTACATCGCACTCATCGCCATGGCCATCCGGGACTCCGGCAGCGGCCGGTTGACTCTGGCCGAGATCAACGACTACCTGATGAAGAAGTTCCCGTTCTTCCGGGGCAGCTACACCGGCTGGCGGAACTCGGTGCGCCACAACCTGTCGCTGAACGACTGTTTCCTCAAGGTGCTCCGGGACGCTTCCAGGCCATGGGGCAAGGACAACTACTGGATGCTGAACCCGCACAGCGAGTACACCTTCGCTGACGGGGTGTTCCGCCGCAGGAGGAAGCGCATCACTAAGGGCCGGTCCGGTGGTTCCAATAAGGACACCGACACCCCAGACATCCAGACCCCAGGCGAGGAGACTCGCATCTCGGCCACTCCATCTGTGCCCTCCCGGGAAGAGAGGGTGATGGGAGCCAAGTTCTCCAGCTCTTCCAGCTCCTTCTCCATCGATAGCATCCTCAGCAAGCCCTTCATACGTAGGGTGGACAGAGACCACACCGATAGAGACAGTTCACATGCCAACCCCGGTGCCCACCGGCTCTACTGGCCCGCCGGTGCTCACCACATGCTGCCCTACACACTGGCCTACCCACCGGTACCCGCTGCTATGGCGCACGCACATGCACAGCACTCATACCACCAGGTCAGCACCGGCGCGTCACACATGTTGCACGTGTACAGGTGCAGCCTCGCGGAGCAAGCAGAGCACAGCAGGGACCCACTCACAGCTCTCCACATGACGTCACAGGGCCACATGCCAAACTCCGATGCTGCTTTCTCCCCTGTGAAGATGCACACAGCGCGAGTTGGCAGCTGTCATCCTTACCAGATAGATTAATTGCGCTCCTAAAGCCAACATAAGGGACAATAATGTAATTATGTATCTTAAATTTGACATGTGCACTTTCCTATGCGCTCTACGTTTTTCTAATGTCTTAAAAAAGGCATTTCAGTGCATTTAACTGTTTCTGATTATAACAAGTCGTTTAGCGGTGATGAATAACGTAATGTGTTATTGTTGTCATTACTTTATTTCTATCTGGTTATTACTAGGACGAAGCAAATTAGTTGCAATCTGACATGCCATTCCACTGTGTGTGTGTGTGTGTGTGTGTGTGTGTGTGTGTGTGTGTGTGTGTGTGTGTGTTACGTGGTTTTTAGGTCATTTCTACTGTAAACGACGGCTACCATGTGCCAACAATTTTGAAAAATATATATTACTATGTATGTGTTGATGTAGTTTTGTATGACTTGCTGAAAAATATTGTAGTTTAAAATATTTGTTGGATTGTTGACTACTCCATGTAAGGAGGCTGCACAAAAAGAAAGGAAATACACTGTCTGTTTCCCTAAACATTGATTCATGCATGGACGATATTTTATGAGAGAAAATAAAAACTTATTGGGGAAAAAATTATCCAAGCAAACCAGGAGTATGTATTCTTTATTTTCCTTTAGGTAAAGATAAGGCAAGGGCAATAAAAAAATGAATCTATATTTTTCCATGAAGTATAGGCCAACTTGAAGTGTGTTTGGAATCAGAGGGCGGAAAAAGTTTGCATGCGTGATCAGAGGAAGATCCGATATCTATCTGCCTGGAACTGGAAGGGCGTAGCGCCTGGCAACACTGGCGCTGTTTTGGCATCCTCACCACTTAAACAAGCCTACTGAAGTACCAGAGGAATGAAGAGAAAGTTATACATTCATTTCAGACATCTGCCTACTCTGCATGGCAAGGCACAACTAGGAAACAGCAGTGTTAGGCACAGAGAGGGCTATATATTCACAGATTTACAATACCTCAATTTCACCCCTCTGTCTTCCTCTCTGCCTGCACCGCACAACTAAGGAAGCAACACTGTTAGGCACAAATTACAGCTCGGTTGAGCTATTTCTAAATATTTAAGTGTGGTGAGATCCGTCCCAGAATGGGGAGTGTTGAATTTTGTCAAGTAAATCATATAATCTGACGCTTTACACGAAGGATCATTAACTTTAACTGCAACACACGTCTAGGAAGGTTGTTCCGAGTAAAGGGGTTTGAGTTCAGTTATTACGGACATTTAGCTGCACAATAGCAAATCATGTGTAGTTATAATGTACAGTATCTATTAAGCACAGTGAACATATACACGTCTCCTCAAGCTCTTATATATAGGTTCGAGGATGGAATCTCAGACTTTGGACAACTGCGCTCCATCTCTAAACGTAAACTATGGTTTATGCTTAAGGGTAAATTGTAGGCCTACCATAGCATGCCAGGCAAGCTATGGCGTACTCATTAAACATTCTCTGTTCTGTAGCGTTCACACGAGGGTAAGAAACATGCCCGGGATCCGGGTCTCCTATAAACATTGTACAATCAAATATAGCTTGTTCAAATATGACATTTGACTATACTCTGCCTTGTAGCTTGTTCTCGTCTCAAGTCACGCAATTCAGAATGTGCCTGTCATACTGAAATAATAATAGGCTAATACATAATACTAATACTAATAATAATAATTATTATTATAAAACATTAGTGCATTTCATGTTGTTGTTTTTTATCATGAACACTTGAAAACATATCTTAGACCTTTTTCATCCTACTAGAGGCTATGTTGAGGATTTTTTTTAAACACATGACAAACATTAAATCAATGTCCTGATTTTCTGAGTAAGATGTACAACAATATCTTTAGAATACGAAACAAGACGTGGGATGAATTACGACATATAGCCTACCAGTCCACAACAACGAAGACACAGACCTGCGAATGCTAAACGATAGGCTATACAAATAACTTTTACCAAAACAATGTTTCAAAATTAAATGACCAAAAGACAAGTTGGATTTCTGTAATCGGTTTAGTAATGAGAAACAATAATGTTGGCTACTTCAAGCGCAAAGTCCATAAATTATCACAACACATTCCAATAAAACCTAAATGATTTGACCTTTTCAACACAGACAGGGGATATATGGGGGTTCTCAATAGAGGCAAGGATGCAGTCCATACGCGATGTCTCGAGCTGTCCCCGGTCCTGAAGGAGACCCTCGACGTCATCACATGTAGTGTCGCCCACATGAATTACGATTCCCGTTCCCCTAACAATGTTAGGCCTAATGTTATTGACAAAGTTGTAGACTATCACTAGGAAGTGCTGTATCTAGACAAACATTGCAAAGAAGGATACATAGAAAAGACCGTGAACAGTACATTATTTTATTGTGGACCAATGAGAAATGAGCCCCCCCCCCCAAAAAAAAAAAAAAGATATATTGTAAAGTGGTTGTCCCACTGGCTATCATTAGGTGAATGCACCAATTTGTAAGTCGATTGATAGACGACCAAATCTGAAAAGAAAAAGAGCAAATGTGTTGATACATTTACCATTGACATTTTACCCTTTACATTTACATTTACCATTTACATTTTACCCTGTCTTTCTTGCGAGGGGTTGTCAGTCCCTCATCGATCTGGGCCCAAATAGAACGGAAGACATTCTTGTTTAGGCCGGTACATGTTTCTACAAATACAATGCATGTGGACAAATATTTGGACATAAAACATTACCTGTCCGTTCTCCTCAATCATGTACATTGATGCATAGGCCTAGGACTATACTATGCTAACAAAAATAACCTGACAGATGACACTATTGTTTTACTATACTCAGAGAAATGCAGTCTGCAAACTCGGTCCTGGGACCCCCCTTGGATGAACGTTTTGTTTTTTGCCCTAGCACTACACAGCTGATTAAAATAACCAACTCATCATCAAGCTTTGTTTATTTTAATCCGCTCTGTAGTGTTAGGGCAAAAACCAGAACGTGCACCCGGGGGTCTAGGTGACATGTGAGAGGGTTGAGTCCCGTTCCAGGAACAATGCTGCAACCTGCAGGTGAAATCCCGGAACAGCACACCTGTATGCTACGCACTGCGCAGAGCACTAGCAATTACGGCCATAACAGGTGAACGCTCCATCAGTGTAGGCTACCGTTATGTTTTCATTCTATGGCTAAGGACTAGCTCTCTCTGGTGTGTGGAACAGGAACTAGTTAAAATATGGCTTATCCTAATAAACCAAATACATGCCTGAGTCTGAGAGCAGTAGAGACTGGGCTCCATTCAATCCGTATCACCGAAGTATCGCAGAAGAACCGCGTTGAAAACTAAAGGTAATTTCCGATTGAGCCGACGTATGCAGTGTTTACCATGAATGCAGTCTCCGCCACCGCGGGAACATTGCCTATAATTGTCAATCGCGCTATAAAGCGGATCTTCAGCGCTATGGATTGAATAGAGACCTAAATACGCTGTAGTTCTGGTCCGGGGTTTAGGCCTGCAGTCCAATGGTAGGAAGTTGAAACAGTCAGCCACTCTGCCCGCCGCTGAACCTCGCGTGAGCTTCTGGAGAAAGAGCCTCTCAGCACAAAAGTCCGGGTTGAGCTGGACAGGAAGCGCGACTGCTGAGGCGCCTGAAAGAAGACAAAAATACGCACATTACCGTTATAATTCCCTGGAAATAGCTATTTAAATTATATTTCATATCTTCAAAATGAGTTTTAAAAAATGCTCAGGAAAGATGTAGGCACTTGTCAAAAGAAGTGAGGAGAGGTCAAAATAGGCTATAGGCCTATGAGAAGGACCAACAACCAGCAGGCCTGTGTTTCTATGGAAAGAGTGTGTGGTTTTATGGCTTATCAACAAACAAACAAATTATTAAAACAAACAAACAAGTATTATAATTAGCTTATTATAAGACTTATATTGACCATCACACAATAAATCAATTTAAAATAATTGTGAAACAATGGAAAGTAACCATTTAATTTATTTCATGGACCGCTGCATTAATTTTCCTTCAGCAATATCCTACACATTAAATATACATTCATAAACAGAATTCTGAGCCACATTTTTCATGAACTAATATCTGAATGGTGTAAGCCTTTGTATAAATAATCAGGGACGTTAAACCAATATTAGCTATAATATTATAGTTGACACTTCAATATTTTTCCAAAGATAAAAAACAACCATTTATATTGTTCTAGGATGGCGTTCTTCAGGCTAAAAGGATCAAAATCTGACAGAAATGCCAAAGGATATCCATCACTATTAAAAACCAGAACCCATGTAAATATGTGACATAAATGTTGTTTACTAGATATTTCAAAACAGCTATAATAAGAGCTCCTCTACGCGTAAAAGCAGTGGCCAGTCTTCAAAGTGCTCTCGCGCAGAACAAAGTTTCCTCCTAGCCGCGGAGGCATCCTGATCACCGCGGGGGTCATACGTTCTGATGTCGCAGGAAATTCTAAGGCCATTAGGTTCCACAAACTTCTCTGTGTCATGGTGGAAAAATGATTTTATCCTCACATCCTTTGTTGTGAAGTGTAAAGGTTATTGTTGATGGCCATTGTTTGAAAATCCTTTATATTTTAGGCCTACACTTAAAAGGACGGGAGTGATGTTAGACAGACACACAAACACACACACACACACAAAGAGATGAGGAGCGGATTAGTTTATGACATCTTTTCTTTTCAGTCTATTTTCTATAGCTCGACTATCCCAAGATAAGATGTCCGTATCATAAATGCAGAAATTAAATCCCTTAGGCCCAGCCTGAACCTTAAACTATTCTATTCTAATCGGAGGTATAGGCCTAGTCCACTGTTTACAGTTGTTCACTCTTTCCTTCTCATTGTTTCAACTCAGCGGCATAATACAAAATAAAGCTCAGTGTAAAACAAATCCAGGTGGTAGAAATGAAATGAGGGAGACTAGGCATACAAAGAGAATGGGGTATGGTGATGTGATTTAGCTCCAAATTAAAAAATATTGATAATCTAAATTTAACGTTACATTAATTATTTTTAGCCTATGACCATTTTTGGACAAATATTGTTTGTAGGTCTATTTGTATTTCTGTAAAGCCTAGACCTACTCAACTGTAATAATGAGCTGTTTATTATAAACGTATACAACTACCAAACATAATAGGCCGGCTATTCACAAAGCATATACATACTAAAAAATGACTGAAAATTATTGCATTATTTAAGTACTAGGCTATATAAACGAATATTTAGCTCAATATTTTTATTTTTATTTTTATAACATTAGGTGGCTGAATTGAAAACGAGGAAGTGTAGGCCCTATCAAATGCAGGCATAACAAAATTAACCATAAAAGTAATTACAGTATAAATATTAAACGGGCTATCTGCATGATGCAGTCATATAGTGTCAACACTTAACCTTGTAACGGGATTAATACAATCTGAATTTGTAGGCCGTGTTTCTGAACAAATCCTATTTCTCTTGTTGTTATCATTATTGATGTTGATGATAGGCCTTTTATCTTTTAAGACTAAATAATTGCATCATGTTGGACAAATCTATATTATGGTCTGTCTTCATAGGGGAGGAAGCTGTCGACGCCCGCGCGCATAATTTCGGTTCTCTCTCTAACGAACGGGGGGCCCAGGGGACCGGCTCGAGCCTGGGGCTGAAAACTGACACTGGCGCGCTGTGTGTGGTATCCAAGGCCGCGCTTGATGGAAAAAGCCTGCTTCCACTCATGTCAAAGTCATTTACTCAGAACCCCCCCCCCTTTTTTTTTTTTGTAAAGTAGCCTACTCTTATATATGCTAGCCTATACCGTTATACCCTTCATATTTCATTACAGAAAATGTTTCCGTTATTCAGTATAATGACATTTAGCAACAGGCAACAACATGCAAGAAAAGTGTTAGAGATGAGCTCTTTACCTTGTGCGCGTGGCGTGTGACGCTGTTGATTGGAATGTCTGGGGAGGTTTGATAGATGGCATAATTGCATGTATTTGAGATGTCAGAGAGCAGGGGAAAGAGAGAGGGTGGAAGAGGGAGGGGGGATGCGAGATGGAGAGAGAGAGAGAGAGAGAGAGGGGCTTGACTCTGCTGCAGCGACTGGACAGGGGGCAGATTTGGCAGTGGAAGGGGGGAGAGGGGAGGAGGGCTCTAGTCGTCACTGATTTCAGGGGGGATTTGGAGATATGTGTGTGTGTGTGTGGGGGGGGGGGGGGGGGGGGTCTTAGAGGAAAGAAAGATTTACAAAATGATAGGTGGTCGCATTTTGTTTGGCTGAGCGGCCGCGCGCACTAAATTGAGGAGTCTTCGCGTTTCCTCCCCTTTAGGGATTAAGGCGATGGCCACCTGGTGCGCCGCAGAGCAGCACTCACCGCCACGGTGACACCGAACTGCACCGGAGCCTCTGTGTCGGACTGAGCCTCCGCAAAACCCTGCATTATAGCGAGCCCTCCAGCCCTCACTGGATACTCTGCTCTCCCATCTCTCTCCCACATTCTGACACTGCAAACTCGCTGCACATTTTCTGCGTAATAGGAGAGTCCAACAGAACGGGAGAGCGTTTTCCCTCTCCAAACCCTTCTTGTGGAATTCCGAAGACCAACGGCTTGTGCGATTTGTAGAGGACTTTGAGAAGAAGCGACATTACTTGCTATCACCTTCTTCTCAATCTCTCTCTCTCTCTTTCTCTTCTCACGTCACTGCTCAGCTAAGCAGTGCGTCAGCGGAGCAGAGATGACGACCGAGACCTCTCAGCAGAAGCTGGACCCACCGCCTCCCCTGAGGTCCAGCCCAGCCTCCGGTGTCCTGCAACCCGCCATGATGAGCCCACAGGCCGCCATGGACAGTTCCTCGACCGGGGCCAAAGGCAAGAAGGCGAGCTCCGGACTGAGGCGACCAGAGAAGCCTCCCTACTCCTACATTGCGCTCATCGTCATGGCGATACAGAGCTCACCCACCAAGAGGCTGACGCTAAGTGAGATATATCAGTTTCTCCAGGCCCGGTTCCCCTTCTTCAGAGGATCCTACCAGGGCTGGAAGAACTCCGTCCGGCACAACCTTTCCCTAAACGAGTGCTTCATCAAGCTGCCAAAAGGGCTGGGTAGGCCGGGCAAAGGCCACTACTGGACCATCGACCCGGCCAGCGAGTTCATGTTCGAAGAGGGCTCGTTCCGCCGCAGACCCAGGGGCTTCCGGAGAAAATGCCAAGCCCTGAAGCCCATGTACCGGATGATGAACGGGATAGGCTTCGGTACGACCATTTTACCGCAGAGCTTTGAATTTCAGGCGCCCGGGTCTCTGGCGTGTCATAGCAACAGTTACAACTTGGACATGATGACCAACTCCATGGCAGGTGGCTACGACGGGCTTAGCGGCCACCACGTACCTCACATGTCCCCGAGCCCCGGGTCCACGTACATGGCCAGCTGTCCGGTAACGTCCAACGGGGACTACGGTGGACCGGACAGTAGCAGCAGCCCTGTGCCCTCATCCCCGGCTATGGCCAGTGCGTTAGACGGTCACGGTCATTCTCCATATGCCAGTACCTCCGGACACTGGGCGTCTCCCGGCGGCTCCCCGTACATCAAGCAGCAGCCTCTAGCCTCCAGCAGCCCGGCGTCCTCTGGGCTACACTCTGGCATGTCCCCCTACTCCCTGGAGCAGAGCTACCTCCACCAGAACGCCAGGGACACCGCCGATATCTCAGGTAATAAACGTTGTGTAAGTCAAGTCATAACACGTTAATAAATAGATGTGAAATGTCATACGTAATAGGGAGTTTATGCCTACCCATCTTACCATTCCAATTACACTTGGTCAAGCACAACAAGTACTGTTAAAAGTACTGTAAAAATACTACATTTGTTGCATTTGTTATACACGTGGCAAACTAAAATATTTGCAGGTTGACAATTTACTTGCTCTTTGGTCAGTTGTGCTGTTTTCTGGAGGCTAAAACCACAACTTTACGCAATGCGTAATAGCCTATAAAATTGCTACATTTGTATTTGTGAAAATTATAGTTGGCCTATCTTATAGACAATATGCCAATAATCTTATAGACTGTCTTATAGACAATCTCCTACATGCAGAACCAAATGTAGTCTAGTTAAATATCATTATCTTAGGCTACTTACTAATGTGATATGCAGATTAATCAAAACTTTGGCAAATAAAATAATTAGACTAATATAAAAGTGCGTTGTTGCGGATTAAATATGGAATGACTTGCATTTGTAATGCATATATACAGCTATGTTGGAGATGCATAGGTCTCTTAATACATTTTCGATGTAATGTTATTTTCATATAATTTAATTAAAATGACTGGTTCACGTGGATGCATCTCCTTCACATTGCAAGTTGTGTTATGGCAAAATAGCTTCCCAATTTTGTGGGTTAAAATAATTGTATTGTATTTCTGATTATTAGTTTGCAACTATATTCTGTTGTGGAATTAAGGAAACAACTTGAATGACATAGGCCGAAATAATCCTATTTGAGGGCATCAAAGACACAAATCTGCATGCATAATTATAAGGACAATTCAGTTGAGGTGGGAAATATAAGGGCAACCACAGCTTCTTACAACGGAAATTAACAAAATAGTTGAAAACTGTTCTTGAATATATAGGCTAGGCCTTAGGAAAAAATAATGTATGGGGCTGCGTTCTTGTTTACATAAATGTTTGGATAGGAGCTCGATGCAATGGGCCATAATTGAAATTGTAGCCCTTTGTGTACATTTTACACATCGCTCCTTAGGCCAGTTGACCGCTTTCACATGTCATTTGGTTCATGTTCATCTTGTTTAACATGCTTCTAATTTATCGAGGCTTTAACAAAAGTCCAAGGGACTTCTGAGAGCGGAATTATTCCTTCTAAAGCGTCGGGGGTTATCTAAACAAAGGCTGTGCGAGTCGGACCACACTGAAGAAGATAATTTAAACCAGCGCATAGACCTAGACCTACCCGCAGGAGACTCCAAGCCTTGTTAAACTTTACGCGACTTCTTATAACTATTTAGAGGACAAGCCGTTATCTGTGCTAGCGGGGTCTTACACTCCTATTTTTTTTTTTTTTTTTTTTTGTCATTTTTAGCAGACGCTCTTATCCAGAGCGACTTACAGGAGCAATTAGGGTTAAGTGCCTTGCTCAAGGGCACATCGACAGATTTTTCACCTAGTTGGCTCGGGGATTAGAACCAGCGACCTTTCGGTTACTGGCACAACGCTCTTACCCACTAAGCTACCTGCCTCACTAAGCTACCTGCCTAACTCCTCATGGCGACTGTCAATCACGGTGGGTGTGTTGTCTCTGAAAATGGGGCGCGAGGGCTGCAGCGCGAGGCAGGACCCTCAGGATAGAGGCCTGCAGTCCCGAGGAGAGAAAACACCGCACATTGCGTGTACAGGCGTCACATCTGGAGTCCTTATGACCTTGATGAGGATCACGCTCTCTGTCTCTCTCCCCCTTTCCCTCTCCTCACTCTCGTTCTGACCGTGTTGCTGGCCTGACATATTCAGACATATCTATGACAAGGACCTATGTTCTTATTTTACCGATTCAATTATTTGTCTGAAAATAATTTTAAATTATAATTATGATGAATTAGCACGTCTGATGTTGCTACTGCAGATTTCGAGGATAAACAGTGTAATGTGTCTATATGGCCATCAGGAGAAACGGACAATCAAGGAGGGAAAACATAAGCACCCTGACCTAAATCATATTTCATAAATCTCTGTGAAGGATATGGAGGCCAATTGGTGTAGAAAAGCACTGAAACATAACGAGGCTGTTTGGTTATTATATGCCTATCAAATCACTCTTAACTTCAGTCTTTAACCAGATCATGTTAAGTTAAAGACTAAACATTTAAGACCAAACATTCTCTAGGTCAAATATCTGTGTACACATAATAAAACAGTCACAAATGAGAGGTGCTCACGCAAAATATGTGCACAAACTTAACTAAACAAAACTAAACTAACATTAGAGACGCTAGTATTGAGGGCGCAGGGATTCAGAAGTCAAGTCATGATAGTGTTTTCCGTTAGGCTGATTTTTTAATTAAAGGAGACTGCTGCTCGAATGTATATTTTGCTCAGCGTGAGCGGAGGCTATATGGCTAGGGTCTATGCATCTAATTTGCACACATCCAAAATAACATATTGTATACATTGAATTAATTGCATGGTTCAATTTTAATAATTCTGAAGAGGAAATAGGCCTAACACATGCAGTTTCTTTGGATTAAAGGTTTTAGTTCTCCTGAAATTGAAATTCTGAGGGGACATTGTCATTATTTTACTTATTCTCAAAAGGCCAGCAAATCCCTGCCTCTTCAGCAATTAATAACGTATCACAGGTCAACATAACATAATTTAACATAGACTAATAACAGAACAAATTAACAATGTCCCCTCCGTCATTGATTAGGTTTAATCTATAGATTCATTGAGAGTAATTTCTGATTTCTGCGCGTGGTGTTATGGGACTATGTCTCCGCATTGTTTACTGGCCAAATTATTGGAAGATGTGTCAATTTCAAACCTTAAAATATATAGAAAATATATAGGCTACACAATACACTGAATACTATAACATATTTTTACACAAAGTCAATGTAATGCATAAACGTCAGAGTTATAGGATTATTATCCTATATTCTAAAAGAAAACTTAGACATAACAGTTTTTTTTTGTTTAAAAGTCAAGCGTTTACAATCATTTAAATTATTTCTGATTAATTGACCAGTTTTTTCATATTTATGATTGCACGCTCCTCTGTGCCACACACGAGTATGTAAAAATAAATAACTACACGTATAGAAAGCTAAAGTTAGAAGGAGGAGGGGAGAAGAACTATGTGTATTGTTCATATATTTTGGAGAGCACCAATCTCTCTCTCTCTCTCTCTTCTCAGTCATAGTCGAGAGATGTCTCATATATTGCTCTAGTACTCATAGCTATATACTTCCGAGAGTATCTATCCTCTATTCTCTCTTTTCTCTCACTCTCCTTCTCTCTCTCTCTCTCTCTCTCTCAGCAGGGATCCCTCGCTACCAGAGCCACTCCTCACCCGTTGTCGACAGGAAGGATTTTGTCCTGAATTTTAACGGCATCTCCTCGTTCCATCCATCAGCCAGTGGATCTTACTATCATCATCATCACCATCACCACCATCACCAAAGCCTTTGTCAAGACGTAAAACCGTGCGTGATGTGAGCGGGACATCGAGTGCGTGTAAAGGCCCAAACTGTGCTCTGGATATGAGAATGTGATCAACACAAAATCGAACAATTTAAACTGATTCTATACGTGTCTGGCGACAGTTAAAACGCAAGTAAATGCTCTGTCATCTTACTGATGAGAACGAACAATGGGGACAGTAGCCTATTTTTGAGAGTCTGGAAAAATGTCTCACATCAGGATATATTTTCAGTGGCCTTCGTCATCTTGATAGGTCTAAAAGAAGGACAGTATATTATGCACTAACTGTTTCTGAAATGAAGGACCCACTGGGCACAGATGTCAGTTCAACCTCTAATTTTTATTTAAATTTGATTGAGTTGTCAGCTATTGTGAATTCAACGTGAAATCAAAAAAAAAAATCACCATGTCATTGGATTTCGGTTAAAAGTTAGGTGAAAAAAAATACAAACCCACTGGTCACAGATGTCAATTCAACGTCTATTCCATGTTGGTTCAACTTAATTTAATTGAAGTGATGTGGAAACAACGTTGATTCAACCAGTGTGTGCTCAGTGGGAATGCCCTTATGTTGATGACTTTTTGCAAATCCAATGTATTTTCCACGTTCATTCAACGTCATCACACTTTTTTTTTTTTGGGGGGGGGGGGGGGGGTTGAAATAATGTGGAAACAACGTTGATTCAACCCGTTTTTGCCCAGTGGGGGGGGGGAGCTCCAAAGCTTATGACAATGAAACCACTTTGCCTTATTCTGTTCTCTATTGACCAACGTTTTCTTCTTCAAAATAAGTTTGAAAACGATTTTAATTATGTGTTTGCTGTCATTACTTGTGCAAACAAATAGTCTATATTTTATGTAACTAGGCCTCTGTTCTGATTTATAAAAGTACATGCACATACACAAAGCTTTTTATAACAAAAATTGCAACAGATTTGCACTTATTGTATACCTTTTTGAGATTTGCTTAATTTTCTCGTTGTAAAGTGTTTCAATAAAGCTGATATATTTTCGGCTACACCTGCCTGCTTGTCTCATAAATATAGTAGGCTAATTATAGGCTAATCATTGGTATTTACTATTATTATAGGCCTATTATCTTTGTTGATAATTTGTGGAGATTTGTGATTCATATTAGATTTGAGTCGGTGTAAATTTGATTATTTGGCATTCACAGGCATACTTTTAATAACCAAATTCAACGTCTTTGTTTTGTATGATGACACTTTGTAACCTAAAAACCGTGCTTAAGAAGGTAAAGCAAAAGCGTGGATTCTGGGTAAGTTTTAAAACAATCCCATTTAATAACTGGACATACATGTTGTGGGAAACGAATGACTCTTTTGAAGAAGAACATTATATACCTTGAGCCACGGGGATAAATATCTAAGGATTTTATCTTATGACGTAGTAACAATGGGGCTACACAACTCGCTGCATGTCTTTATCGCAGACAGTGAGCTGCAATATCAATATTTACCCATAGACTTCGTGAGAGAAAAGGCAGCTGGTGTTTAATACAATCTAATTTACTTTTTCTGAATACTTGATGAGTGTCTAAGTACAGTAGGCCTAGTTAATTTCTATTTAAGTAGGCCTAAAACATTTTAGATGATTTACCAACTCGGCTGATGATGTTGGACACTTGGGTATTTCCATGTTTTGTGTTGTCTCATTGCGCCATCTACAGCCTGAGCCAGCCTGCCTGGTTCCACAGCGGAAAGTCTTCCGCGTCACCAGACCTCTACCCCCCTGCCTCATAGCAGATTTTTCAGGATTGCCAACTTTTGAAGAACTCATAAACAAACAAGCTGCGGAGGGCCACATTTATTGAGATGTGACCACACAGTATTATTAGAATTACAGTAAACAGAACCCACTTATAGAGAAAGAAGCTGGGTTGTTGGAGAAAAACAGATTAGAAAGAGACAGAGACAGAGACAGAGACAGAGAGAGAGAGAGAGAGAGAGAGAGAGAGAGAGAGAGAGAGAGGGAGAGAGAGTGATGGGAGGGGGGTGAGAGATGCCCAAAACATTCTCACAAAGATGCACTATGTAGAAATCGCTCTGCCATTTCCAGGTTGCTAAAATTCTAAAAGTTCGCCTAATTTCAGTTTATGTGATAAAACAAGCAAGTATACTGTAGATAATCATTGTACCATCTAAACCACTGTGAAATATATTTTCAATAACCAAAAATATTGTATTTTCAGCTGTTTGAACTGGTGACAAAATTGAAAGTAAAAGATGCAAAAACTAAACTTAAAAACGGGAAGCATAGAAATAGTGCACATAGAACAGATCTACCGCTTCTTAGACTTGCTTTCAATGAGAATGACATATCTATAACTCACATTTCTATGTGAATTTTGTCGCGTCGCCAGACAAGTTACATATTGCAGCTTTTAGTGGAGAAATTATTTGAGTTTTCTGTTTGTGTACAAATATATCAACATCTTAACGATAACAATACAATAGGAGCAGATTTGGGATGCTCATTCTGTCTCTGTCTCTGTCTTTCTCTCTCTCTCTGGTCTGTGTGGTCTCTGTGATACTTAAAATTCATGTTGAATAAAACTGCAAAGAGAAACACTCATGCACGCACGGCCAAGCACATATACACACACAGTGTGCAAGCACGAACACACGCACACACACACCTCATCACAGTTCATACATCAGCTCCAAAAAGATACCTCCTTTGGCTGGATATATTATGATGGGTTGGGTTCATTAGCGTACCTTGCTCCACCACTGATTGACATGTAGGCCTACTGTAAGGAAGGAGGACTGAAAGAAATGGACTATGGCTCCATCTAGTGGCGATAAGTATGCCACCAGATTAAGGCCATCCAACCAGCCTGAGATCAAATCTAATCTAATCATCAAATCAAATGTTATTAATTACATGCTTAATAAACAACAGGTGTGGACTAACAGTGGAATGCTTACTTACGGGCCCTTCCCAACAATGCAGAGAGAAAGAAAATAGAGAAATAATAGAAAAGTAAAACACATCAAAATAAAAGTTATAATAGATACACAATGAGTAACGATAACTTGGCTATATACAAGGGGTACCAGTACTGGGTCGATGTGCAGGGGTACGAGGTAATTGAGTTAGATATGTATATAATTAGGAATAAAGTGACAGATAGTAAACAGTAGCAACAGCGTATGTGATGAGTCAAAAAAGTTAGTGCAAAATCAGTGCAATGCAGATCATCCGGGTAGATATTTGGTTAACTATTTAACTAACTAATTTGCAGTCTTATGGATTGGGGGAAGAAGCTGTTCAGGGTCCTGTTGGTTCCAGACTTGGAGCATCGGTACCGCTTGACGTGCAGTAGCAGAGACAACAGTCTATGCCTTGGGTAGCTGGAATCTTTGAACATTTTTAGAGCCTTCCTCTGACACTGCTTGGTATAGAGGTCCTGGATAGTAGGGAGCTCAACCCCAGTGATGTACTGGGCCTTACGCACTACCTTCTGCAGCACCTTGCAGTCGGATGCCGAGCAGTTGCCATACCAAGCGGTGATGCAGCCAGTCAAGTTGCTCTCAATGGTGAAGCTGTATAACTTTTTGAGGATCTGAGGGCCCATGCCAAATCTTTTCAGCCTCCTGAGGGGAAAGAGGCTTTGTCGTGCCCTCTTCACGACTGTGTTGGTGTGTTTGGACCATGATAGATCCTTAGTGATGTGGACATCACAGTGATGTGAACAGGGAGTACAGGAGGGGACTAAGCACCCCTGAGGGGCCCCCATGTTGAGGGTCAGCGTGGCGGATGTGTTGTTGCCTAACCTCACCACCTGGGGGGAGTACCTGGGCGGCAGGTAGCTTAGTGGTTAAGAGCGTTGTGCCAGTAACCGAAAGGTCGCTGGTTCTAATCCCCGAGCCGACTAGGTGAAAAATCTGTCGATGTGCCCTTGAGCAAGGCACTTAACCCTAATTGCTCCTGTAAGTCGCTCTGGATAAGAGCGTCTGCTAAATGACTAAAATGTAAATGTAAATGAAGTCCAGGATCCAGTTGCAGAGGGAGGTGTTCAGTCACAGAGTCCTTAGCTTAGTGATGAGCTTGGAGGGCACTATGGTGTTGAACGCTGAGCTGTAGTCAATGAACAACATTTTCATGTAGGTGTTATTTTTGTCCAAGTGGGAAAGGGCAGTGTGGAGTGCAATAGAGATTGCGTCATCTGTGGATATGTTGGGGCGCTATGCGAATTGGAATGGGTCCAGGGTGTCTGGGATGTTGTTGTTGATGTGAGCCATGACCAGCCTTTCAAAGCATTTCATGGCTACAGATGTGAGTGCTACGGGGCGATAGTCATTTAGACAGGTTACCTTGGCGTTCTTGGGCACAGGGACTATGGTGGTCTGCTTGAAACATGTAGGCATTACAGACTGGGTCAGGGAGAGGTTGAAAATATCAGTGAAGACACTTGTCAGCTGGTTAGCGAATGCTCTGAGTACACGTCCTGGTAATCCGTCTGGCCCTGCGGCCTTATGAATGTTAACCTCTTTAACCTTTTCATGTGTGAGTTCCAAATATCTGGAATGGTCCCCCCAGCGTGAGTTTTTTTATGCGTGTGATGTCAGAATGCACACACTGTTCTAAAATGTGATTGTTACGCAACAGGATAGTTAACCAGTGCTACCCTCAAACTAAGGCATGCTGCCTGCTAATTATCTATAGGCTGTTTCAACTTGTCAATTTCAAATGATTTTCAAACAGGTTTTATTTAACAACAGCAAGCCCTTCCCCAGTCTCTTTCTTTTACGAGTGTCAGGGATTAGGGCATGGTCCGGGGTGAGCAGTATGTCCTGTGCCGCTGACCTGTTGAAGTAGAAATCTTCATCCAAATCGAGGTTAGCAATTGCTGTTCTGATGTTCAGAAGCTGTTTTCGGTCATAGGAAACAATGGCGGAAAAACATGTACAAAAAAAGTTAAGATCAGCTCCAAAAAACACAAAACATTTCAGAATTGGTCAGGAGCCTGTAAAACGGCTGCTATACATTCCAGCGCCATTCTTTCTGACCACGTGGTACAATGCATGCTTGCTATTCAGGGCATTTGGTAATGGCCGGGAGGGGTATACTTCTAAGGAAGCTAGAAGGAAACTAATATCTAACTGTCTTTTCAAGCTGGGTAGTTCATGTAATGTCCAACTGCAAAAACTTTTTTTTTAAAGAAGTAGAAAGGACACAATTTAATGGGAGATTTTCTAAATCTAGCCAGCTTCGCTTAGCTTCATATTCCAGCCAAGCTTCATCCATACTAGGCCTACAATGGTGGATATTGCTTGTCAGCCTGCTACTAACTCTAACAGGCTTGTAACTGCACGTGCATGTCGCACATAGCTAGCTGAACTCTTCATTGAGACAATTCTGAAATATAAATCCATGGCAGAGTCAGTATTCAGTGCCACATTTTCATTTGTGCTGAAATCAAAAAGAAAGAAAAGTTGTCTTGCAAATTCAGCAGGATATATAATCCATAGAAGGATTTTGGAACATCGAACTCTGGCAATTTGACTCCTAGGTAAGCCTACTCTAGCAATGGCTTCCAGTCTAGACTTTAATGGAAACTGCCATCTATGCATCATATGTCCATGGTTGGTTGCGGCTGTCACTTTGCAAATTTCAAAATACAATCGCTCGAAATACATACAGTTTGGAAAGCAAATGCTGCCATTTCAAAATGAGTAATGTGAAAGGTATTTAGACATTACAGTTTCTTTTTTTTTACACATAAAAAAACATTTCATTAATAAAATATTTAATCAGTTGTCTTCCTGAAATGACAGCCTGGTATCATAAACTAGACCTAGTACAGTAAACATAAATCCAAGACACTGAAATTAGTATGATATGTTACGTTTGGTATGGTTACATAAGACAGATAGTTACTTAAGGCAAAAACAAAAGCAGGGTGGATGGGTTGGTGTATAACATGAATGTCTAGCAATTAAAAGGTTGCGAGTTCGAATCTAATCACGGACAATTTTAGCAACTTTCAACTACTTACTACTTTTTAGCTACTTTACAACTACTTAGCATGTTAGCTAACCCTTCCCCTAACCTTAACCCTTTTAGCTAACCCTTCCCCTAACCCAAACATTAACCCTTTAACCTAACTCCTAAACTTAACCCTAACCACTAGCCTAGCTAATGTTAGCCAACTAGCTAATGCTAGCCACCTAGTTAGAATTTGTAACATATCATACATTTGCAAATTTGTAACGTTGTACATTTTGCACATTCGTAACATATAAAACGATTTGTAATTCGTAACATATCCTACGAAATGGGTGATGAACATCCACAAATTAATACATATGAAATGTAACATATTATACTAAAAGAAGAGCCACTGATTTAAGTACAGAATAATATGAAACGTCTACTCCCACTCCCCTTCTCCGGTGCTCAACGTCGGCAGTATACTTATCATTACGCACAACTTCCACCATCGTTACGCGCACCACCGCCTCATTATGAGACTCACCTGGACTCCATCACTTCACTGATTACCTCCCCTATATCTGTCACTCCCTTTGGTTCATTCCTCAGGCAGTATTAGTTACGTTTTTCATGTCCAGACGCTATGCTTGTTTTGTATTGTTCCATGTTTATTGTATTATTAAATTCACCCCCTGTACTTGCTTCTCGACTCCCAGCATCTGTGTTACAGGCGCAGACACTTTATTCAGGATGAATTGAGTTAGCCCCGAAGTTAGCCTGCCTGGGAGCAGGTTAGTTCTGA